CAATTTTCCCTTTTAAAAGGTGCTTTGATGGAGAGCAAGTGTATATGTGTGGGCATGAGTGAGAGGTAGTGACTATGCTATGATTTTTATGATCAGATGCCTGTGTGTTTGCAGGTGTCCAGTGAGAGGTGGAGCTATGGAATGTGAGGGAGACTTGAGGCAGCCTGAGGCTTCACTGAGACTCTCCCCTGCAGTCTCTGCTTTCACTGTCTGTATTTATAATATGCACTGGGTCTACCCAGCTCCAGCGAAGGGGCGGCAGTGGGTTGCGTACATTAATACTGTTGGTAAGACATCCCACACAGACTCTCCAAGGGCCAATTCACCATCTCCAGAGACAATGGTGAGAACGTACTATAACTTCACTCTAATGGACAACCTGAAATTCGAGGACACATCAGTGTATTTCTGTGCAAAAGATGCACAATGAGGGAATTCAGAATTATCCGAGACACGACCGCCCTCGAGTGGAAGACGTTATGCTGCAGGGGTCTCTCAGGACCCTCAGAGCACAGGACTCAGACCCAGGAACAGGTGCTGGGGGAGCTTCACCACTGGCTTCCTGTTTTGTCTGGGGATTCTTCTTCATCTCAGTCTCCCTCAGGGAAATGGAGCCTCTCATTTCTTTCAGAAGCACTCACCCAATCTCCCTGTGATGACAGGATGATTTTGAACTTAGTTTCTGTTCTGCTTTCTCCTTTAATCCCCCCAAACTTCCTATATTGATTGGTAATTCCTACATCCAGGATGGATTCTCTTCTCATCATCTGCTTCCTGAAACACTTCATCCCTTGCTTTCGGTACTCCTCCTGCATTCCACCCTACCTCGGGACAACAGTCCCTTCTGTGCACAGGATCTCACTTTATTATCTTTTCAAATTTACATATATATATATGTGTGTGTGTGTGTGTATATATATATTTTTTTTCATACAAAATACTACAAGAACTGATTACCAGTAGACTGATCCCAGATTAAATCACCTGTCTCCATTTATCCAGTCAGAGGTTTTCTTGTCTGAGTTCATTCATTTTATTAATTCACAGCTCCTTTGTGCCCTTGTCAACCACTGACTATTTTGAGAGCCATTTTTTTCTCCCAAATCTGTTTGTTTTTTTAATTTAGCAGTTGTGAATATTGATACAAGAGTAGGAATAGAGAGACAAGGCAACTTTTATGCTTAGTCTCAACGTGCATCCACAGAACTCACCTTCCTTCCTGCCCTGTCTCCCCTTGTCCATGGGCTACACACATCCTATTCTGTTCAGAGCACCCACAGGTTCCCTACAAGTTCTGTGGGTGGCTATGCCTCCAAATATTATTGAGATCAGAATATTCTTCTCCAGAGATATTCCCAGGGACTTATTTTCCCTCAATTAGTACTGTGAGTGCTGTAGTTATGATCGCAAAATTCTGCTTCAGACACACACAGAGGGAAAGGCTGAGGGAACCCAGACACAGACACCCATGCATGGAGAGGTCGGGGCTCAGGAGTCACTCAAAGTCCACAGGTAACAGGGGCCCTCAGGGGAAACGTGCAGAGGAGCCTAAGAAGGATTAGTTAAATGAGGTACCTATTTCCTCTACCTGCAGAGAAAATGTCTCTGCCACAGACCTCCACATTCTTGTAGTTCAGTGTGTGTATGTTCTTGCATGTACTATCAGAGTTCTGATGACACTCAGTACTCTCTGATCAGACTCACTGTGAAGGTAAAGGTCGATGCCACAGAACTTGTAGTCTAGTCTGCATTTTATTTTTATTATGATTCTAGTATATTTTAGTGTGTATCTTTGTGTTGTTCTTTCTTATATAAATGCATGTGTACTTATTAATCTGAGTGAGTATTTATGAAGGTTTGTTAGTTCTAGTAGATGTGCTAATTTGTTTGGAGGATGTCTGTGCATGTTAATATGATTATTACAATACAAATGTCATAATGTCAGTTTCCTGCTTTTGTATGTTCACATTTCACATGTATGTGATTATATGTTTGATAATATGTATATTTTTGCTACAGGTATTTTATTCACTCGAACAGAAAGACTCTGGAAAAGACAGATAGGCACAGCGGCTACAACTTTAGGTTCAAATATAAGCACACTTGTGAGACTGCCTCAGGACAGGGTGGTGTTTCATTCTGCTGTCTTTAGGATCTGTAGAAGTCGAACTGACTCATCAGCTAACATCAGTATTTTATCTCATGTGTTCCTGGGGGACGTTAATAAAGAAAGGGCCTTAGTGTTTTACACTTGATTTTACATTTCAGAATGGAAGTTATGAGGTTACAATAATCTGATTGATAACTCAGTGTTCAAGCTTTATTATTTTAATAACCACACAGGTATTTGACACATGTAACACACAGAAGTTCATGAGTAAGCCACAGTTAATCCTCACTGCATGTTCACACCTGTGTACCCCACAAAATTGAACACACAGAGGCCTCATCCCCGTTTGACCACACTTCACAGTCTCTCCCAATCCTGATTCCCAGGGAGATCAGCTAGGGCTTCATTTGGTATGAGCATGAAGCAAACGGAAAGTAGAGGGTCTCACCACAACTTATTTTGTAAGAACTAGAACACGGTCCATATACGGATGACAAGGATGAGCACCAGCCAGGAAACCCCGTGAGCATCACCTCTGATGCTCCATTTTCTGACTTGTGAGCAAAAAGAGAATGTAAATGAGGAGAGAATCAATGACTATACCACTGTTTTGTTGTAACCGAAGTGTGTGTGCTGGCGGTGTTGACAGAACTGTCAAGTCCAGTATTACAGACTAAGTTCATGGAAACTACATACACTAATGACCCCTTTTGCGGTGACCCCATATGCATTATCAGCAACATGCCACCAGTTGTGTATGTCATGGTAGGTAACCTGTTCCCAGGTTACAGCAGGATTGTGTGTGTTTTTTGATATCAGAGTCAACTATTTCTGAAATCAATTACGTCAGGTTCCAGCTAATGAAACTAGAAAAACATGAGTCTGCCATATAATAGGTCAGTAGGGGAAAATCATGAACAGACACTCAAATAAATGAATAGCAGGAATACAATAAGTGAGTCATTTCAAGGAAAACTGGAGAAGATGAGGTAAAATGAAAAATATCTGGTTTTCCTGACCATAGCAAAAGAAGGAGAACTGGCATCTCGTGATCAGAAACCAGAGAGGAGACACCCTTGTGCATGTTTTATGAACAACTGCATGTCTACAGTTTTAAAATATCAGATAAATATGGAAATTCCTTGGAAGGCATGAAAACCAATCATATTCCCATACAAGAAATAGATTAAAAAAATAAATAGATAATCGAGTCGTCCACTGTCATCATGTGTATTCACACCTTAAGAGAGGAGGCCTTGTGAGCTACAATATCACAAAGTTGTTGTGTATGGAATGTAAAGTTTATAAGTTGAAAACTACTTTCTAAAAACACTGATAATATATAACAATGAAAGCAATGCTTGATAAAGAACCTGTTTAAGAGCTCTGTTTTCCTTTGAGAGTGCTTGTGTTTCTCTGAGTCTGAGGGAGAACTCTTGCCCGTATTCTCTACTCCTCTGCTTCTAAATATCAGGGGACATGCAAATGCAGCTCTCTGCCTGCTGATAAACCGGCCACAGGCCCTGATGTGGGAGATCTCAGAGGACAGTCCCAGTCTTTGGGGTCTCTGCTGTTTCCATTTGTTCCCAGGAGCTAGTCCACAGGAAACATCATGAATTTGGTACCAACTTTGGCTTTCATTTTGGCCATTTTACACGGTAATCATTGTAGACCCTGCTGTGTATGTATGTGGTTGTGATGCCTTAGTGTGGATGTGTTCTGCCTAATGACATTGCCTCTGTATTTGCAGGTGTCCAGTGTGAGGTGCAGCTGGTGGAGTCTGGGGGCGATCTGACAAAGCCTGGAGAGTCTCTGAGACTCTCCTGTGCAGCCTCTGGATTCACCTTCAGTGATTATTACATGAATTGGTTCCGCCAGGCTCCAGAGAAGGGCCTGCAGTGGGTTGCACGCATTAGCAATACTGGCGGTAATACATACTACACAGACTCCGTAAAGGGCCGATTCACCATCTCCAGAGACAACTCCAAGAACACACTCAATCTTCAGATGAACAGCCTGAAAGCCGAGAACACGGCCACGTATTACTGTGCAAGGAGCACAGTGAGGGGAAGTCAGTGAGAGCCCAGACACAAACCTCCCCTGCAGGGAGGACACTGGTCTCCAGGGGGCGCTCAGGACCCACAGACGCTCAGGACCCTCAGGACTCAGGACCCTCAGCCCCAGAAGCAGGTGCAGCTGGAGCTTCACCGCTGGTTTCCTGTGGTGATCTGTGGATTCTTCTAAACCTCAGAGTTTCCCTAGGGAATCTCTCTAACTTAAAAATAATATCTGTATGCCTACTTTTGATATCTGTGAATTCAACAGTTATATTGTAACAGGAGAATATAGTCTGTCCTACAGCAACAAACAGCCTGTGCCTTAAAGACAAGAAATGCCTCTGTCCGGGGTCCCTGCATCAGAGTTCTGATGACACTCAGTAAACACTCTCCGATCAGACTCATGGTGAAGGTAAAGGTCGCTAGTAAGTGTTGGACGACAGGCTGAAAGTTTGACAGTATATTCTTCCATCACACTTTGTGAGGACAATCATTTGGTCAAAATCTAGATGGTCAGCCTCTTTTTATTGAAATGCTTCTTCAAATGACACATACTTTTTGGTTTTGTTGTTTGGTTAGGTTATTTTTCCTAACCATGTTGTCCTGTTTTTTTTTTGTTTTAATTTTTTGGTCTTTTCTGTCATCCCATCTGCAAATCCATAAACTCACCAATTGTCTTTTATTACCTTGGTGCTAATATTTTGTATCTGTCTATTCTCCAAAACCATTAGACCAAGATTGTCAAGACAGACACTAACTTGTCTGTGCAAATTCAGGATTCTGGGAGATCTCTACGGCTGAATGGTATCATTCAGTTCTTCATGTCGCATGTTGTATCTTCATCTTCACAGTCCCACAGAATGTGAGCCCTCTGCTTCTGCTTTCACCCAGAGGTTCCGCATTTGTCCTGTTTATATCCTCATCCTACTTCTGGTGACTTTTCTACCAATTTATTGTATGATATCAGTAGCATCTCCATTATCTAGTGACACACAACCTTAAGGGGGGAATATCAGATATTTCATTATAAGATTCCATACAAGAATGAAAACTAGGTGTGAATAACATTATTTTTTTTTCTTTTAAAAAAATCATTTTATTGGGGGCTCATACAACTGTTATCCCAATCCATACACACATCAATTGTGTAAAGCGCATTTGTACATCATTTCTCAAAACATTTTCTCTCCATTTAAACCCCCGACATGAGGTCCTCATTTTTCTCCTCCCTCCCCGCTCCCCCCTCCCGGGAATAACATTATTAATGAGGGAAATAACTTCCTGTGTCAACGGTAAAGTGCTTCAAGGTGACGCGCTCTCTTTCCACACTGGAATGACTCTTGAATAAACATAGCACTGTAGTTGTTGAAGAAAAGCTCTTCTTTTGTAGTGATTCGCAAAAGCCATTCCTATTGGAAAAATAATAATAATTTATAAATTATCAATGGCTTGGGAGGGAGGGGGGGAGGGGAGAAAATGGAGAACTGATACCGAGGCCCAAGTACAAAGAAAATGTTTTGAGAATGATGATGCCAACAGATTATCAAATATGCTTGACGTAATGGATGAATGGATGGATGGACGGATGAATTGTATATACATATATGTATATATATATATACATTCCCATTTACAACATACATTGTGTGTATATATATATATATATATTCCTATTTACAACATACATTGAATGGGAGCCACTTTGGGCTGAATTCAAGGAGATTGCTAGAATTACCTGATCTTTGAACTTTTGAATATCTAATAATATTACAATCATCTAATGCAGAAAAGAAAATATGTATCTGACAATTTAAATGTCCTAGGATTTGCTGTGAGTGTCTTATAAATATATAACACGCTGAGAGTAGAGGATCACTGTCTTTATTACTACACTCATTCTCAATCCTAAGCTATGTCTACCCCCTCAACTATCTTCTTCATCACTTTCTGTAACCTGGAAAAACTGGACCTTGGTCTTGGTGAGTGGAGAAGTCATGGAAAGACCTGTGTTCTCTGAGGAAACAGTCAACATTCTCATTCTAGATGAACTCCTTTTTAACTTTATTACAAAAGTACCATCACCTTCAAATCTCCACACAGTCCATCAGATAGAATTTCATAATATATTATTTAGTTCATGTCTTACTCATTCTGAATAATACACCAGAGAATCACGGACTTTTCTTCCTTCTCTTGGGGGGAGCTCTCAGAGGTGAGTGGCTCAGGGATTGAAACATGAGGGTTTGGGAAAACTTTGTCTGTGCACCTGGCTCACTGTCTCCAGGTGCAGCTACAAGGGTTGGACGAGGACTTGTAAAATTCACAGACATCGTGACTCACTTGTTGTCTCTAGCTTCTCTGAAATCAGCCATGGATTGGTGTGCTATGGAGTGGTGAGAGCACAGACTATACTCCTACCCTGATGTCTTGAGCACACGTCATCAATGACCCCTTTCATTGTCAAATTCATTGAATGCTGCCCTCCATTGCTGCCGAGGCCATTACTTTGTACGTATCACAGTGAAACGAGGTGGGGAGAAATCAGTGTGATTCCAGGAGTCCAGATGAAGAAAGGGGTCTGAGCTTGACTGAGATCCATTATCTTCTTTTCTGTGTATTGTTTGTTTTCCTTAAACAGGTTTTACATTATTTCCTAGAAATATACTTCAACTTTTTGAACTTTAAAACTACATGCATAGAGATAGTGACACAGCTTCCAATAGTCAACAATAGGAACAGTTTTCCAAAATTAGACAATCCTTCATTTTAGGGAATAAATTTAAGCTGAGATCCATGAGCAGTCGTGATGGGGCTATATCCAGAGCACAAATGGAAAGGCTGTCTTTGGTTGGATTTGCTCACATTTCAATGGAACCAGAGTCCCCTGGGTAAGAGGCATTTACAAGAGTGTCTATGGTCTTTTTTGTAAAAGATGAGATTCAGTTGGATGGATTGATCTAATTTTGATGAATAATTTTGATGAACAATTTCTCAAGAAAATGTCTTTGGGTTCAAAATCTAAAATATTGTACTTAACTAATTCTTACTCTGAGCCTTTTCTTAAATCCATTTACTGTTTACTACACATTTGTACTTGAAATCATGACGACTGACTTTTCACTATTCTAGATATTCCAGCAAACAAAGGGGGTGTCTCTATTCAGAATCTTGCATTTTTTAGAGGCTACTGAATTAAAATATTGTCTTGACTGGGCCCCAACTTTTCTAGGTTGTATCTTCTTCCCTGAGACCCTAGGACACTTGAGGCGCTTTACTTAACACAGAAGTCGACCTCAGTCATCAAGCTCTGGTATATAGTGTGTGTATTGCTTATAAGAGTAGCGGGGTTGGAGATGACCATGGTCCCAGGTCAGAAAAATCCTGGATGAATAAGGTTAGTAAGAGGACAATACCTGCTGAAAACATTCTGCCACAGACTTCAGATTATATGTATATAAATGAAATGCGTACATGTAAGTGGAGTGTGTCCTTTGGACCCAGCGTCTGGTTTACTCTTGCCTAACCTTAGGAATTTGGACTGAACAGAACCCACCACTACGTGACTCCTTTCCTCATAATTTCATGAATTTCTTTTGGATGTGTACTGATCCACAAAACCCACAAAGTTGAGGGAATCTCCTCAAGAGCGGAGTGGGTGGAAATTGGAACAGAATGGCTTCATAGAAGAGTTGGAACTTTGGGACATTATCAATCCCAACTCCTTAGGACTAATCCGATATTCATGCTTCTCAATGATGCTACTCCAACACAAGGATAACTAGTAAGGACTAGGAAGAGGTTAATTAAGAGGTGTCAGGGTATACAGGGAAATGAATGGACCGGGGAGATTGTGAGGTCTGAAGATGCCTTGGGGTCCAATTGATGGTTTCAACAAACTCTATCCTGTCCACTCTCTGGGGCACAGGAATTATAGGAGTCCAAGGCAGGGCAGGAACAATGTGGGGCTGGAGGGAGAGAACACTGGGCTCAGAAATTGTGGGCATTCTTTGACCTTTCCCATACTCCTCTTGAGAAAAGCTTTCTTCCATTATTGACTAATATGGATAAGAGTTCAAACAAAGAGTTACCCTACCATGGGCTCAGAGGAAGAGGATTGTCTGGTTTTTATCACTTTCTGCTTATATGGACAGGGCTCCCTCATATGCAAATTATTTTTCAGGTGCTAGATTAAAATTTCACAGTTGGGCTGGGAAAGCTATCAGTTTTCTCAGACAGGGCTGTAGGTCTCTTGGGAAAACAGAACTGTGGTCTAAAGATGCTATTGCTGTGTGTTCTCCTGTGCCTGGTGACAGTTCCCCAAGGTGATAGATTCTGATATCTGCCCTGGGTGGAGGGGATGGTTGTGACCTCAATTGACTGAATGGGACCATATGTTTTTGTTTGCAGGAGTCCTGTCCCAGGTGCAGCTTCAGGAGGCAGGTCCAGGACTGGTGAAGCCCTCCCAGGAACTTTCTCTCACCTGCACTGTCTCTGGTTACTCCATCACTAGTGGTTACTGCTGGAGCTGGATTCACCTGCCCTCAGGGAAGTGGCTGCAGTGGATGGGACATATAAGCGCTAATGTTAATAATTATAACCCTTTCTTCAAAAGTCAACGCTCCATCACCAGAGACATATCGAAGAACCAGTTCTCCCTGCAGCTGAGCTCTGTGACTGCTGAGGACACGGCCATGTATTACTGTGCAAGGAGCACAGGGAGGGGAAGTCAGTGCGAGCCCAGACACAAATCTCCCCTGCAGGGAAGACACTGGGAAGTAGGGGCGCGCAGGACCCACTGAGCACAGACACCAGCCTAGACAGACACAGATGGATGACAGGGAAGATTTCCTGTTGGAATGAGGGCTTTCTCTCTTAGCTATCAGCCTCCCCTTGGACAGTTTTTCATTTTGTTATCTTTTTTGTCTACTTTATATTGGGATGAAAAGTGTATGGTCAGTAGTTTGAAACCACCAGTTCCTCCAAGGTAGAAAGATGAGACTGTTTGCTCCCCTAGAAGATTAACAGTGTCTGAAACCCTACGGAACAGTTCTACTCTGTCCTGGAGCATCACAGTGATTCGGGATTCCCTTTTTGCCAATGGCTTATAGTTACCGACTTTCTGAATTTGTATCTTATTTTGGTTGCTTATCTCCATTAATTTATTTTCTGTGTCTTCTGTTTAATCATATTTGGTATTATTATCAGGAATTGTTCTATATTTTCCATCAGTCTGGTCTTCATAGAACTTCCTACATCGTATTTTCATTTTAATTATATCATCTTTTCTGTGATATCTTATATGATATTATTTATAAAACCTTTATTAACATGTTAATGGCTTCCCTTTTAAATATAGATTTCCTGGTTGTGCTACAATTTACAAGGTATCTTTATAAAAATAACCTTATTCTCCCTTCTAGTAGTATTGCTCTCCCTCTTATGTAGTGAACACAATATAACTGTTGGTTTCTGTTAAACCAGTGTGTGAGGTCACCGATAAAACTCCACTTAAACACAGGCTTAGGATGCAACAGTAATTTGCTCACAGTGAGAAGAGACAGTGATGGCTCATCATCAGGAGTGGGCAGCAGTTCCCACAGCCAGTGGTTTCACTCTGCGGCTAGTGCAGGATGGTAGTTTAAAGCATTCCTCCTTTGTGCTGCAGTTGAACATCAGTGTTCCTTCTTCAAAAGCAAAGTTAGAGAAAAAGGGTTGTACTGTGAGCTGACGTCTACTGGAAGAAAATGAGTCGATTTTCTTGTTTTGTTGCTTGGCATATTTCATGTCATGTGCATGACAATCAATTTGTGTCTTCAGCATAAGGCACAGGGTGTGTTGTAGGACACCAGCTAATAAAGAGTGCTTTGGGAACCAGAAATTAGTGGGAAAGGCAGTCAACTGGCAAGATCCTCAAAGTCCAGTAGCCAGACTCACACATCCGAAGCACACCTAGGTCTGTTATGGAAGCGGGGATGGGCAATAAACTGCAATTGGACTGACTGCTTCCTCAGTTTCCAATTCCTGTTGGGGATTATCTCTTCTATTTTGTCATTGGGGGAAATCATTCTTGAATTTCTGCGATACGTTTTACTGTTTGAGTGTAGATGAAAGCCAGAATTGATGAACATAAAGAGACAGCAAGTATAATAAGAGCTTCTGGGGCTACAGTGTGGGGTGGAGTAAAGGGAGCTGATGTCAATAGATGAGAAGGAAGATGTTTTGAAGCTATTTGTGGTAGTTGATGTACAATACTGTTTGATACAGTTGAACTACGGATTGATATGACACCTTTATTTGCTCCCAATAAAACAGTTTGGAGAAGAAAGTGAGAAAATAAATAAAATATGGAATAAAGACTATTTATTCCATTGCTAACAATTTTTATAAATTCAAATTTCTGGCGGAATATTTTAGCTAGTTTGTTGAAATGTTGTTGTACCAGCAAGACTTTCCATCAGTTTCTGATTGTGACTGAATAAGAAAACTACGTCATTTTAAAAGTTATTTTTCTCTTATATGTGCGACAAAATAATATTTTCAACATTCTTCTCATGCATAATTCAATGGAGAGGTACTTAGTTTACTGTGCCAACCTGGCCGAGAAACACATGTGGGATCAATTGAAGGATGGAGGGATAAATTGCTCAATGAGCCTCGCCTTTCTAGTTCTCGGACATGCTTTCTGATGGTCAGACCAGGGTGCAGCGGCCTTAGCCAGTTCCCTACTTCAGCTGGCAAGGCTCACTTCCTGCAAGACACCCCCAAGAAGAAGCCTTATAGACCTACCTGATGCAACCCTGAGTGCTGGAGCACCCATGTGGAGACCCCTGCCAGTGCTGAGATGCTTACATGTTCACTGATTCAAGTTTCCTCCTGCAGTCGGCATCATTGCGTGTGTTTTGTGAGATTGAGGAGGACTTTATGGATTGGTGTTGGACATATAGACTATTGTTGGACTTGTGGGCGTAGGCAGCACTGTGTTAGGATGTTTTCTTGATTTGTACTTACCCTTTATATACAACTCTCTCTAATTCATATGAATTTCTGTGGATTTGTTTTTCTAATGTACCCAGACTAACACAAATGGCATTAGATTGTCATTGTGTTCAACAGTTACCAACAGCTGCAAAATTTCCTTTCACAGACACCTATAAAAAAGAACTCTGACTTGACGATTTCCTCCTCAACATGGAGTAAATAACTCTATAACTTTCTTGCTTCAGTTATTTTGAATAGAAGTCTGCTTTAAGTATGTTTCCTCTTCCTGTGGAAAGAATGAAGCCTAACCTCTGTTCAATAATTTGGTTGTCCCCCAGGATCAGTATTTTCTTTCTTGATCAGTATTTTATTTTGGCCTTCATCTCAATATCAATTTCTATATAAATATCTACATGTATAGGTCATACTTCCTTTCACTGTAACTAATACAGAGTATTTGCAACTTGTAGCACTCTTTACCTCCATATCTGTTCACAGTGAGGGAGAGTTAGTGTGAGTCCAGACAGTAAACTTACCTCAGGGAGAAAGCTGACCTGCAGGGATGTTAAGGACCCAACAACTCTGGAACAAGTGAAGAAAGAAGTGAGGAAAGGAGCCTGGATGAGGACTGTACTGCCTGGTCAGCTAGAACTGCGGTGCTGAACACTATAGTAGCACTACTGCCCACAGCAGGAAACCTGCTGAGACAATTCCAGGAAACACACCTGACCAATAGTCTGAATGCTTAGGACCAGAGAAAATGTTGCTGTGAGACCCACAGAAATTGGAAGACACTATAAGCCCAGGAAACACCTCTCCTCTGTGTGACGGGATGCTGTCAGCAGGGGCCTCTAAAAATACATTGGGCCCAATGCCCACCCTGGGTATTAATCCATTGGAGGATAAATGGACTTCTTATTATTTCTGTGGTTTCTTTTAACCTCACAAATAACCCAATTGTTAGGAAATCTTATATTCTGACGCTAAATCTAGAAGATAATGTTAAAATATATTTTACACCTTTCCAAATATTGTGAAATATCATAGGGCAAAGGAGCTTGAACAATGACATATACTTGTTTCCCTTTGTGTTCAGATGTGTGGAAATATTCAGGTAGGCCTGGTCTTGATACCCAAACATGGTGAGGATAGAGATTGTCTTTAATTTCACTAGAGCATCTGTTTATTTTTATGGTAATGACATAAAGTTACATTAAAGATGAAATCTGCACAGATGTTCGTATGATTGGTAGAATGAAGACCTCAGAGAAAAGACTGTGTTCTCCCATGGATGTCAGGGTAGCCAGCCCCTAACAAGTCATCACAGGTCCGGTAGGCACATTTGTATAGCGATAATAAGTAAAGATTATAGTAAAGTCATAGAGAAATAGAGGAGAGAGTAAACTGAAGGAGTCAGACACATTTCATGGTAGCATGCTCACCTCATCCCTGCTTGGTGGTCCACATGGAGATGGGAGCCCTGAGTTCAGGAGAGGGAGGGAAAAGAGGACAAGGGGAGAGGGGACACAGGAGCAAAAACAGGGGGGAGTGCCCTGGGGAGAGAGACTATTTCTAACAAAGGCTAATATACCTTTGGGTGTGTGAAAGCACCCTCTTTAGAGTTAAAGAAATACATCACAGGTAGGGGTTGTACAATAGGTAACGCAGCAATGAGAGGAGGACCATCTAGGGGTATACAGGCAATAGGAAGGGGAGGGATTGTGATGTACATGTGACAAAATGGGCAGATCCTAGATTCAGGATGGCAGCTTAACCTTGGTTGTCACTGGTCAGGTCTGACCACTTCTCTGGCTCTCCATAGAAACAATTACTATGCTTATCAGTAGGGTGTGGGCCCCATCTACAGTAGAGCAGATGTGTTAAGGGACAATATATCTAAGCATCTGACCTCCCACCATGAGCTGGCAAATAGCCTTTATTGTTT